AGGGGCACGTCACATCAGACTTGAACTAACAAAAAACGTAAATAAGATGATCCAAATTATTAATGATGACAATATGTCTGCAATATGTAGAAATCAGGCGAAGATAATTGCACAAAAATACCTTCAGACTATTACTGAAATTACTGATAAATTGTCCGACAATGTTGCAGAAGAAATTGAAGAAATGGACGAAATCTCCAGATCAGACTCCGAAGCACCCAATTTGTTAAGAGATATATCCAAAATCAATAGATCTTCGAAGTCTATTAGCTGGGGTGTTAATGTTACACGAGGTTAATTCTAATATATTTTCTCATTGTAAATAACATCTAATGTTAGTTAACTGTGATGTGATTTCATGATTACAGAGTACGTTAAGGATAGCACGGTCCCAGCAAACACTTTAGTCACACCATCTATGCCACCTCGCAGTATTCTTAAGCGTAGGTATGATTACGAAGAGGGTGCTGATTATGAAATTCATAGAATGACCAATTTAACTTTATCAAAGCCAGCAAAAAAGTTTCGTGAAGACAAAAATAAATGATAACGATGGAATGTTACAAATTACATTTTTATTGGTCGACATGACAGATTGTTGTAATGAATAACAAATCATAAAGATTGTTACCAACTGTTGTGGGCTTTATATCACTAAATACTATCAAAGGAACATTTAGATTTCAAAAAGTATTAGAGTATTTTTAATAATTAATAAGCGCTGGAAAGTTATTGATGTAACATTTGAGGACGTCTAGCAAGCTTAATAAAAGGATTAAATGTACTCGGAATTTTTTTTTGCGTTGTGAATTGGTGTGCTTATTGTTAGTATAATTATACATATTTTATAATACAGTTCAATATTTTTAATTAATTAGAATTTTGTACTTTGGGCAAAAATAAATTTTGGTTTATAAATATGAAAAAATCTAAATAGTGCTTTTATGTAGTTTTGTTTTTATAGCAATATTGAATTTACAATAGAAATTAAATTATGTTAGAGTAAAATAAAAGTGTAAGAACATTTTTGCTTATGTTATCTAGTCAAAATTTCGAAATATTAGTTGTGAATTATAAGAACTGTTTAGGCACTTATATAATTTTTATTTAAAACTTTTGCATATTATAAAACAAATATTAGGTAGGCCTTATTTTAAATTTTATTAATATAAAACTTTTCAAATTTGTATTTTAAAAATTATGCTTCTAAATTGTATTACAAAAATCCAAATGCTAATTCTTGAATATTTACTTTTAATATTAAAAAAACTAGTATGTTAAAACTAAGTTCAAAAACTAATACCAAAAAAAAACAAATAAAAAAATTAATATAAAAAAAATAAAGCTAAAAAAAACTAATACAAAAAAAACCAAGTTTTTAATAATAAATAGTTTAAGATTTATAAAAGTAATATAGTTAACAGAGATGTGGTAACCTAGTGAAGTGATCAGGTTGTCAACCCTTCAAGTAGTAGGTTGGGTGTTCAAATCTTATCGATGATGAAAATTTGAATAATCACCTATGTAATATTCATATTATGGCAACTGTTACTAATGATTAGGTTAGAATACCTGTAATGGCAGTCATATCAGTATGACTGGCAGGTTATGGGGCATCTGTATAAGTATGGCATTACACAGAGGAATGCAAACTGACAGATCAGATGGTACAAACACTAGATAAGTCCTTGTGGTCATGTAAATCTGTTAAAATTAGGTAACAAGAAGTTTATTTGGGAAGACCCAAATAGAGAGATAGCTAGATCTTTAATAGTTCTACTGTAAAGACTAGTCTGAGGAAATAGATACCAAGGTTATAGTACCTGGTTGTAGTAGCTAAATGAACAAGAACCTTCAGGTTAGAAGTCTCGAGAGTATTATCAACCAGCTAACAGAATGAACTAGAAGAAAAGGATATTAGACTGACCTAATATATCAATAGACTGGTTATAGTTTTATATGGATTATTTGAATTGGGAGTTTGGTAAAAAGGCAAGTGAAAAGGCAGAGTATACTAAAGTACCAAGGTTATATTATGAAGTAGATACTGGGGTTTAAGTAAACTCTACAAGAACATAGCAGTTTAATAGTCAACCCTAACTGCAAGTGTTAGTTTTGTTATAGTGATACCTAGTTCATTGTAAAAATAGGTACAGAAGGCTCTAGAGGGTTTACCTCAAGGATAAATTAGTTTTAAGGTTGAGACAATAATCTGAATATCTGGGTATAATCCAGTAAGTTAACACAAGTTACAGATTCAGAAGGTTTAAAGTGGAACACCCAAGCAGAGGTGTTAGGTATAGCAATTGGTAGGAAATCTTTAGGCAAATTTTTTAAATAAATAATATAGAAAAGTTATATATGTAGCCAATTGTACTCTCTTCTGTAGTAGTTCATTA